TTTTTATTTGACAAAGGAGAGCAATTTCTATTTTTGTCTTATCATAATTATAAATAATAATAATGATATTACAATTATAAGCTTAATAATAGATCACTAACTGACATTATGTAGGATTCAGATAACTAGAATCTTGATAATTACAACATAAATGTCATTAAAATATAGATAATGAAGGGTCAAAATATTTTCATACTTATTTGGTAATCTCTTTCTCAGATTTGCATTCTATTTACTACTAAACTTTCTTTAGGAATTGAAATCTGTGATCATTAATCGACCTAGATAAGAAAAAAAAGCTTTACATAATCAAATTTATCAAAATTTATATTTGGTTACCAAATATATGATCCGTAACGTGATTTTTAATAGCAAACCTCTAAAAAATTAGATTTAATGCATAATTTTCTGTATTATACTCAAAAAATTAAATTATTGAATTTTCCCAAAAATTTTAAACATAGTTTCTTATTGCATTGATAAACATGCAAAAATGCTATCAATTTTTTCATTAAAACCGAGGAGTAAAATTAGTTTAATATCCCGAGATACACCAATCAAATTAATTTTGCGCAATCATGATACGTAATCTGAACTACGTTATTTAAATATAAATAGGCGATCTCGAAAATTTTTATTTCCTGGCAAATACTTACTCTAATTATATAAAAAATGGCATCATATTTTGGTATATATTTTTCTCGCAAATTAAGTTATTGAATTTTACCTACCCACTTTCACAATTACCAAATTTTTCCCCCCTTAATACTTTTTTTACACAGACGAAAAAGGAATTTCTGATCCATCATTGACGAAAAAAAAATCAAATCATAATCCAGATGTATCCCATTTCTTTAACGATGGTTCTTCCTCCTCTTCAGCAACCGGTACTAATGAAGCTATTACGGAACAATTTTTACACTTGGCAAAGTAATTCCTTTATTTTAAACAATGTCCGTTTTAATGTATATATATATATATTTATTATTTATTTATTGTTGTTAGTTTATTTAATTCATTGAGAGACCAAACACCCGATAATAATAATAATCATCAACAATTTTTGGATAATTTAGTTACGCAATTGTTAGAGGAAGCCAACTCGAGGTAATAAAATTAATATACCGAATCTAATGATAAGTCCTTTACACGTTAAATATCTTAATCGAACTTCTCTTTTTAATATATCAAGCGCAAAGGGACCACCACCGGCTAGTAAAAGTTTTATAAAAAATTTGCCCAAAGTAACCAAATCTGAAATCAAGCCTGGTAAGTTTAAATCTAAAAATTTATTAAATTTTCTATCCAGAAAGTCCTTATTTGATTCCTTTTTATACATAGATGACACATGCATTATTTGCGCGGAACATTTTCTATCAAATGAAAAGACCAATATAACAAAGTTACCTTGTAGTCATATGTTTGATAAAGATTGTATTTTGCCATGGTTAGAATTGGTAAGTTTATGATTAATTTTTGCACAACATCCAATCAGAAAATTTTTTAACGGGAATTCTTTTCTACTTCTTTAGCATAACACATGTCCAAATTGTAGGTTTGAGGTGGAATCCGATGATCCAGAGTGGAAAAAGAAACAAAGAGAAAAACAAAAAATTGAAGACTCAGAAGAGGAAGACCCGAATGGGATGTATGCGTAATTTGTCAATTTTAAAAAAATAATTTGGTTATAATTAAATAAATGAAATTTTTTTTTTAAAGTACGCCCGCTAACACACTACCAGTGTAATTATTTATTAATATAAAATCTAAAATAAAAAAATATGAATGATACAACTACAATCTTTAAAATACAAATAATAAAATGCTATGATCATTGTTTCTAAATCAATAAAGGCGAGATTAAGATCATTTAATTACCCAACCAAACAATCAGGAATGGTGATACCAGGTTTAAGGGATCTATCGTCATAGAAAAGACCCCAACTTCCTTCTAATTTGGTCCAAGTTCTTTCTTTCCAAGGAGTATCAAAAGTTTCAAAATAATAATACTTGGTATTTAATTTATTAGCATCACAAACAAAAGTATTTAAGAAAGTTTGTAAGTTAGGTATGGAGGCAACAGCGGCACTTTCAGAAGCGCCAGCGGTTGGCCATCCTACTTCAGATATAATGGCATCTTTGCCTGCAGCTTTGGCAGGTTTCACATCATTTTCATTGAAAAAGTCAAATGTCCATTGACCGGCTTGTTCAACGGGTACACCACCAAAATAAGGATGCACGTTTGCCCACATGATATCATTTGCAGCCACATAGGCGGCATCAACATTTGAACCTAAATCCGATGTAAATACGGGAAGCTTTTTGTTAAATCCCATCGAATTGATTTCTTTTCGTACATCAGCCATCCTTCCGTATAATTTTTCTGGTGTGACCTCTTTACGAAAAAGAACTTCGTTACCCACTGATACGCCATCAATATTATCTATTCCATATTTTTTCACCATATCAATTAAAGTGTCATGTTGACGTTTATAAGTCGTATCATTATCATCAACCCAAATGGTGGGGACGATGGTCATGTCTAATTTTAACAATTTGATGGCTTCAAGGGTCCAATCGGACATATGACAATCCATACCATATAATCTGATCCTATTAGTTAGTTGAGAAATCAATTTAACATCCTCAATAACATCCCCAAGAGTATTCGTACACCCAGGAAATGTCGCATTGACGGGACCGTAATTTATACCGTAAAAAGCCTTCTTTAACGCTGGATTTGGTGTGATGGTTAAGTTAACGGGTTTTTTATCCCATGTAAAGTATGTTTGTCCATTCGCCGTTGGGTCCCCTGATTTTTTATCATCATTCGAAACATCTATATTGTTATCACTATTAATTTCGGCACCTTTATTTTTCATTAAGTATGCATAACCTACACCTCCAACAACACATAATAATACAATGATACCGATCGCTGCTACTATAAAACGGTATTTCTTTTGACTTTTTTGCTGTAATCTAAGCCATTCGCTTTTCTCTGGATGTCCCATCCTTTTTAATTTTTTATTTTTAAAAAAAAAAGTCAAGGATCAAAATGGACAAAGAATCTTGGATTAGAATAAATTCATCTTAAATAATATATATATTTTGAATTAACACTCACGTTATCTTTATCTAAACGGAAATTGGAAAGTAGGATTTTACAGTATATAAAAGAGTGTATATACTATTATATTTAGAAATAGAAAGGAATAATTCCTTAACTATTAATGAAAGGGAAGGAATAAAGGAAGGAAAGGAAGGAAGGAAAAGTATAAAGGAGGAAAGAAAGGGAAGGTTGACAAAATTTTGACGAATGAAAAAAAAAGCGATTTATATTCGTATCACATTTATGGGTGTACAATACTAAACATCAAATTAATTTTAACTAGTACACATATGAATACAATTTCCATTAGATCCTTATTTGGATAAAAAATGCACGAATTGCAATTTGTTAACATCTAACAAAACCTAATTCAAAATTCAAATATTATTACTAATGCCATTTGCGTAAATCCTTGTTATCCATAAACCTGAGATGATTGGAATACCATTTACACATCTAAATAATATTAATTTTGTTAATATTTTTATTTTTTAAAAAAAAAAAACATCGAAAAGTTATTGCAAACCTTTTTTGGAGCCTTTTCGTGCAATTCATTCAACAGATGCACACTTCTCAACCCGGATTTCCTACACAAGAAAAAAAAACCGGATATTAATCTCAAAAAAAAAGGGGGGTAATAGAATACCGTAATTCATGACTTACCATAATACATAAGAAACCAATTGGCCCGAGTCGTTGTGTCTAATAGATTCGATTTCGTCAATCTCTTCGTTCCAATCAATTAAAATATTGGGATCGGCATATGCCCTAACGTTAGGACATTCCATGATTAAATTGTATTGTTCATTTTCTTCTTCCTCGTATTTTCTTTTTATTCGTGCTGATGAATGTCCAAGTGAATTTCTTTTCCTTTTCCATTCATTCCAATAGGTTGATAACATTACGCTATCATTTCTAAATTACACAAAACTATCTTTCAGCATAAAAATAAAAAAAAAAAGGTCCAAATATTAAACTTACATCGTTTGCGCATTTTCCCAGCTGTTATAACTTTCCGGCAAATTATCCCATTTAATTAAATATGCCAACTGTTTCTAATGGAATAAAAAAAAATTATATAAATAATAATCATCATTTCATAAAACATCATTAATTGGATAATTACACCATCATATTTGTGATCTAAAATCACTTCGGGATAACTTTTATCAACCTCTTCCTCCTCTTCTTCATCATTTACAATGAAATCACTCATTTTTGGTTTTTTAATCATAGATTTATGTTTAACAAATTTAGTCTTTGGTAAAGAAATAACGCCTTCAAGTGGGGGATTAGGTTGAGGTCTTTGAGAAGCATATGAATGAATAGGATAAATATATATAGAATGAGAAGACAAAAGTTCGGGTAAAGGTTGAGAAGAAGGGGGATTAGGATGATTATAATCTTTGCCTGAATCTATATCCATGTTATTATTTACTTTATGATAATTAAAAAACCAAATTTCAAAAAAGGTAACGGTCTTAGCAAGGATTCATTCATCCTTATAAAATACTGATAATTGATGACGTATGATAATAAACTTTATCAAAGTTTAAATATAATGACGTATGATTTATTGATTTATTATTACTACGCGAGTTTATCTATTCGGATTTTTTCACGGACCGATATTTGCTATATATTTTGCTGATCGACATGATATTATTAATTATGACCGTAATTCGGATCAATCCTAAAAAGAAAAAAATAAAGAAAAGTCGATGGCGTTTTTTTTAGTTTCACGAGATTGCCATAGATATATAGATAACTCCTTTGTTCGATACAATTTTAAAAACTTTTTTATTTATTTACACTACATATAAAAAATATAAAAAATGAAAATCATGCTCATTTTAATTTATAAACACGTTTCGTTTCAGGATCAGTATTATGGAATCATGTCATGATAATGTTTAATGGTCATTTTACACAATTCCCATTGGAAATTCTAAATTAAAGAAAAATCAATTTATATCCGGAACTCAAAGCACGTTCAGAAAGCAGCCCATTTAATAACTCACCTTTGTTTCTTCCAATAATTCCGTTATAATACACTTTCCTTTTTTCCACCAAGCTCGCTCTTCTTGTATGGTCTTTAAGACGGTAACTCGAATATTTTCCACATCAACAGAACTTCCGGCACCACCAACATATTTTGCATGTTTTTTACATATTTTTTTAATCGCCAACTTATTTAACGGGATGAAATTGGTTTTAACTAATTCCAAATTTTTTATAAGTTGATGTAATTTTTGACTTAAATCATGAAAGGTGGGTACTGCGGACGAATTTTGCTGTTGCTGTCGATCATGATCAAATATTTGAGAATTTTTAATTCAAATTTGTAATTCACTCTTTTTTTTATATTATAATTTAACTTACTAAACGGTATGACTGTAAGATTAAGCTTTGAAACTCGGTTCGAAGATCATCAAGTAATTCCAAGTAGAAAAGTTCAACTTTATCTACTTCATCTTTTAACGTTTCGAAAAATGATTTTTCGGCGGCAGCTGTGAGCATCGAGTATTCCCGGTATTGACTTTTATATCACGGAAAAAAAATCTTTTTGAATTATTGTTTCTTTGTGTATCGTGATATCGAATATTTTCTAGCTAACCTGATAAGCGGGTTCAACCGTTTTTTCAACTTTTTATAGTCAACATACTTTTCATCGCAACACGAGGAAAAGGGTAAATATGCTTTTTTTTTTTTTTTTGCTTTGAAGTCTAGACTCATCTCAAAAACAAAGAAAATGTCAACTTCCAAATACCTGTTGAGACCACTCTGAAACTTGGTTATCCAATAGGTGTTTCCCAAATTTCATTTCGTTTGTCGGGGTCAAAATTCTTTTTCTTTTTTTTTTAATTAAAAAAAAAATTAAAACCAAAAAAAAAAAAAAATAAGAAAAAATTTAAAAATTGCAAAAAGTTTTGTTCGATAAGGTTGGTTATAAATACATACAGTATTATATAAGAGTGTTAAAACGGTTAGGCTCAATGGCGTTAAAATTATACGGTTGATCAATGACAATTTATATGTAAATTCTATACAAGGTTGTCGTCATTTTCAACTTTCGATGAATTTTGGGTTTTAAAAATGGAAAAAGAACTACCGTACTTGTCATGTGAAAATAAAAAAAATTTAAAATTCTGCATATAAACGCTTAAATTTTCTCATTGTATAAATCACAAAAAAAAAAAAAAAAAATTTTTTTCTTCAAAAAAAAAATCAAGGGAAAAAAATAAAAATAATAATAATGTTAAGGCTTCATGAATCTCATCACGATTGGCAAGATATAAAATCATATTTAGCTATATTCATATTTATGATAACATGGCTTTTAATAATGAAACAACGCTCAAAAGTTAGTAGTCATAACGTTGTCGCGATTTTAGGTTGTAGTTTAATGGTATTGTTTGATGTAGTCACTCCAATGGAAGTTTTTAGTAGCTTCCGTGGAGAGACTTTATTATTGGTCGTTGCCTTCATGATAATTCATGGAAAGTTGGAGCAAAGGGGTTTCGTCGAATTCTTAAAACGTGTCTTGCTCTATGGTAACCCGTCCCCTGCTTGGTTGTTGGCAAGGGTATCCTTTCTTTCGGGTACTTTGGCTGCTTTGATCATGGATAATGGCGCCGTTACTTTTTTGAGCCCTCTCGTTTTTCGTCTTTGCGATGAGAATCGTCTTGAAATTGAACCATTCATGATTGCACTGGTAAATTATCTTTGTCTCATGTGTCACCCGTCATGCATAAAATTTAATCATCTCGTTTCATTATTATTATTTTTTTTTTTTTTTAAAAAAAAAAAGGCAACATCTGCAAACATCGGTTCGGTTGCTACAGGTACAAACAAAGTAAATTCCCTTGCTCGAATTTTTTTTTTTTTTTTTTGATTTCTTGATTAATTCTGATCACCTCACCTTTTTGATCGATCGAAACAGTGATCGGAAATGTGAAAAATTTGATCATCGTGGAGACCATTCCCGAAATTTCATTTTTTGAATTCTTTGCTCAAATGACACCCCTTGCTATAATGGGACTCGTATTGAACACGATATTTCTCACGTTTTATTATCGTAAAAGTTTTGCCGATCGAACGATCAAACCTTACAAACCACCAAAGAACATCAATACTTCCCCAACTTCAACAAATCTTTTGCCTCAAAATGCGGTTGCGGGAATAACCGCAACATCACGTGAAATCCCTGCCATGGAATCTTCTTATGATTCTGATGAGGATAATTTCGCGTCAGGAATAATGAGTGATAGTGATGGAAGAGATGAGAATAGTGACATGGAAAGTAATGATGATGAATCATTACATAGTGAAGGAGAAAATTCTAACCTTCTCGCACGTAAAAAGAACACCCTCCTCACTAGACCACAATTTGCCAATGAATTTTCTTCATCACCGGATCGTTTACCACCTCTGAGAAATTATGCTTATGAACAAACGGTTTATATGAATGATGATGATAATGATGTTACAAGTCCATGGGTGATTAGGAGAGAGAGTGGTTTTAATTACAATCAAAGACAGAGTCAACCGGCGTTAACAAGATTTGCTTGGGCCGCGCCAGATCCAGAATCTAATTCGCGTGGTTTACAAGGACTTGGATCAAATATACAAAAACAAACCGAACGATTTATTAGTGATACGAAAAATTTCTTTGGAAATGGATGTCTATGGAAGAATGCTTTTTTTATCACGATAATGTTTGGAATGTATCTGGCATTGTTCCTTGAAAAAAGTTTTGGGTGGTCCACTGTTACCGTGGCATCTTTATTATTATTCATTGATAAAAAGAATGTGTCCAATGTTATCAATAAGATAAATTGGGGTATCGTCGTTTATTTGATTGGTATATTTGGTGTCATGAGAGGTCTTTACGCAACTCCAATACCTGATTTATTATGGTATCAATATGAGGAGATGTTCATTAGACCCGATATACGAAAAATTTCAATATCAATGTTCGCGTTAGCATTTATGTCAACCGTGTTCGCTTTAAGTTTAACTTCCGTACCGGCGGTCCTTTTAATATTACCTTATATACCAAATATAATTGAGCCAAGCCTGAGAAATAATGCTGGATATTTATTGGCTTGGAATGTTGTCTTGGTTGGAAACCTATCGGCTCGTAGAAGTTCTGCTGGTCTTATCGTCTCAGGTATGTCATTTCTTTACGTTTCGAGCACACAAAAATCTATTGATCTAATTTGATGGCTATTTTTTTCTTTTTTTTAAAAAAAAAATTGCTTATTTCAGAAATTGCAAAAGATCAATTATTTGATACACCATTAGTTCGACCTCACGAATTTAAAGTATGGGGGAAATATTCGGTGTGGTCGACTTTTATCATTTCAATCGTTGGTACTTTGATGATTTACATCTCTTCTTAAGTAAATATATTTGAAAGGGAACTGTAAGATTTTTTTTTTTTTAGAATAATGATTTTTTTATTTTTTATATTTTTATTGATTTACAATATTAGACATTATCATACAGTTTGGTGAATTACAATTTCCTTTACAAAAAAAAAAAAAAAAAAAAAAAAAAAAAAAAGAGCTTTTTTCATAGTTTTCTTATCATAGAAGGAATAAATAATGAATTTTTTAAAATCAAAAAGTCAAACCTTTCATTCATTTAATCATCAATTGGAACATGACCAGGCATATTTTCAATTCTACGTAACCAAGCTTTGATTTTAGGAAAACTATCAATAGAATATCCAGCTACAAGAATTTTTTTTTTTTTTTAAAAAAAAAAAAAAATTATTAAAGATCCAAATTAACTTTCTTTTTTCTTGAGAAAAGAAAAGATTAAGTACCTTCCTCAGCACAATGAGTATAAGCATAAAGAGCAATATCGGCAATAGTGTACTTATTAGCGACGAACCAATCCTCATTACTTAAATGTTGTTCCATGATATTTAAAGCTTCATAACCTTTTTTTTGACGCTCAACGATTTGATCAAGGTATTGAGGATCTTCACCTTTATTCAATAAAGTTATCCAAAATCTTAATGTACCAAAATTTGGTTCATGAGAATATTGTTCCCAGAACAACCATTGCATTATTTTTGCTCTGTCTATTGGATTTGATGGAAATAATGGTGTACCATCCGAAATAAACGTCAGGATCGCGTTGGATTCTGTTAGAATCGTTGATTGCGTTTCTACGACGGTGGAGGAATTCTCATTTTGACTTTCATTGGGAGTGGAAGAAGGGGAAAGAGTAGTAGGCTTGGCAAGTTTGTGAACGTAATCTGGTGGGATTATTACCACTGGAACTTGTCCATATGATGAAACGTTGTTTAAAAAATGATCGGTACGCGTTTCTCCTTTTCTTATATCGATATCAACACGTAAATGCTGTATTCTCAATAATGAGAATAATAATCGAACCTATAACGTTTAAAGGTTTTAAATCAAAAAAAAAGTGAGGTTAGTTAAAAAGTATTTAACTTGAAAAAACAAAAATTACCTTGTAACAATTTCCTGAAGGAGCATAATCATATAGAGTAATCACTGTCATATTTTAAAGAAAAAGAAATAATGGGAAATAAACTGGAGATTTAAAAAATCCGTACCGCATGAATTGATTGGCTAAAATCCTGAAATTCTTAATTGATAATCATGTTTACAAATTTCAATTTGATTTTTCCTCAAAGGTGAATTATTATAACATTTATTTTGTTGCATTTTGCGATTTGTGATCACTAATTCGATTTCTTTATTTCGATTATTATTTTGAATTTACTAGAAAACTTTTATTTATTTTTTATTTTAATGGAATTAATATATATATATTTTTTTTTATAAAAAAAAAAATTTGATTATGATAGAAAATCAATTTAAAAAAGCCAAACATATAAAAAATTTCAAGAAGGATAAAAAAGTAAAAAAGAAAAGTTATTGAATAATTGGAGAAGAAATTATTAAGAAGAGAATAGTAGAAAAGCTGAAAAAATGAGTTAAAGAAAAGAAATATATATAAAAATTGAGGTATTAGCATGAAGAAAGAGTTTATGGAAGAATGATGAACAAATTATACAAAAAAAAATTATTTTAAATTATCAAGATTTTATTTATTATTTATTTAAGTAAATATTTAATATAATGTTTGATTGATTAGCTAAATTAAATCTCTTATTAACTGTGTAAAATAAAAAATGATATAGGTTATAAGGAAGTAGATTCATATGATTTATATAAGTTTTTAATAGAAGGATTCATCTGATATACTCTGTCAATTATTGTAAGTAAGTTTTGAATTTTTTTTTGATAAACAAACAGATTTTACATGCTTTTATCAGTTTAATTATGAATTACTTAGTAAAGTTAAAAGATAGTAAAAGAAATAATTTAATACAGTCAACTCTTGATATAGGAACTCTTGATATAACGAATTTTTTGAACAAATATAATAAAAATACTCTTATTATAGTGAATTGGCTAATTACATCTCTTAAAATCTTCACTATAGCTTTATAGTGAAGTTGATGTTTAAGATATAGAGTTCGTTATAACAAGAGTTGACTGTATATATATTAAAGATAAACAGAAAGATATTTAAGATACTATTAAAAAGAAAATGATCTAAATTCAAAAAACAATTAGAAAAAAGATCTATCTGATAAATAAGATTGAATTTTTTCAAAATGATGATTAGATCTAAAAATAAAATTACATAATAATTAAAAGAATTATTAGTATTTGATAATAATAAGAAAACTAAAAGAAAAATATTACTATTATTTATATTTAATGAAGCTAAAATATTAATTAAGAAAAATATATATTATAAATAAGAATGTTTATAATATGTATTAATAGCTTTATCTACTTATATAACAGGTAACTGCTTATCTAATATTATTACTAATATAGCATTTAAGATATCAAATTTTATATTAGTTACTTATTATGATAATTTATATTGCATTTAAAGAAAAACTAAAATAATTTTATACTTATCTTTTTATTATATTATTATATTAGATACCTTTAATGATGAAATATATAAAGTTAGATACATTTAATTAAATAATATCTTTATAATATTTTTTGTTATAGGTAATCTTTTAAAATAGATTATTCAAGATTAAGGATTTGATCATAGATAAATGCATATTAATTTCTAAAAGAATATTAGAAATAACAAAGTAAATCTTTAATCTTAATGATTGGATCTTAAAAAAAGGAAATTAAGAAAATCTGTTTTAGAATTAATTATTATTCTTAAATTATGATTATGTATTAATGTATGAATTACTATTAGAATTTATTATTAGTTATATCAAATATTTGTAAATCAGTGATGACATATTATTTATTTATTCTAAAACTAATAATGTTATCTATTTATTTAATAAATATTAACAATAAAATAAATTTGCAGCTTCTTATTAGCATATTTATAAATGTTTTTAAGATAGTTAATTAAAGGTAGATTTAAAGGTAAGTAGATTAATCTTGATAATTATATGAGATAAATATTGTTTATTTAAAAAGCAAATAAATTTATAGTTTAATATTAACGTTAATAATATCTTAATATTTTATTTTATTTTATAAAAATATTATAAAAATATTAAATCAAAATACAAAACTTAGTACTAAACTTGATATTTTATTATTAGGTCAAAAAAATTAAAGAAAAGAATTATAAAATTAGAAGAAAAATTGTATAAAGTATATAAAAGCTTCTTGCTTTAAAAGTTTTTAAAGAAAGACTTTTATTGAATTTGTAAAATGTAATGATTAGGCTTATTTACTTTATTTATATTACATATACACTAATATTAAATCAAGCTTCTTGAGTTTTTTTAATGTGATGTAACAGTTATTTGCAAGAAAAATCAAGCTGATTTGAATTCTATTGTTACTTGTTAAAAAGAAATTTCAAAAAGATTTCTACTGATAAAATTAGTATTATTCTAGAACAAATTAAAAATTATTAAAACTAAAAGGATCTAGAATATCTAATGTTAGTAACATCATTACTTTCTTCTGATAGTGTTGACATTAATAAATTTGCAAAAAAAAATCTATTTATAGCATTTTACATGCAGCTTAATGCATTAAGATATTTCATGAAAACTATGCTTATGTTATAGCAAGAATCTTATGATCTTCAGAATAAAAAGAATATAAAATTCTAATAAAAGAATGAGTCCTAACGTTTATAACATAAAGAAACCTTAGAAATTTATATTCTTAGATCATAAACAAAAAATACAGATGATGATATCAACAGGCAGTATGTAAAATTCACGTGCATAATATACACATGAGCACATCAAAATTTTTTGTGCACAAATGACATTACAAAAATGTGCACATTTTGCACATGATTTAAATTATGATCATTATAAAGCTATTGTTACACTTGGAAGAAATGTATAGTGATTGGCTCATGAGATTATTTTCTTTTTATCTGATAAGAATAAAATAAACTGTTTGAGAAAAAAAATTTTTTTTTTCTGAAAAATCCCGAAATAATGGTTATTTATTGTTTCTTTTAAAACATTGTTTACCACCTTCAGCGCAAGTAAATCCGTGGTGAGCATTTATTATCAAATAAGTAAGAAAAGTAAGATTGTTGTCGGTAATTAGTTTGTATTTATTTCAGGATTGTAATGTAAATATAAAAGAATTAGTTGTATTAAGTGTATTGAGTATAGTGATAATAATAATAATATTCAATATTATTATTATTCATTTTTTTATTCATTAAAAAATATAATTGAGTTTTCTATGATTTATAAGGAGGAGGAGGTTCCACAAAGATATCTTGAGAAAGGCAAGAACGTTCATGTGGATGATATGAAGAAGGATAAATTGAATGTTCTCTTGTAACAGGATTAAAAGTGCATATTTGATGACTTTCATCATTATTCAATGCTAAACTAGTAAACATCCATCTTCTATGATAAGCTGTTGACGGTCGAGAGGGCAGTGATAAATCTGCATCTATTGTTCCGCAGCTTACAACACTGTTTATTGAAGTACGAAAACTTTGACTTGATAAAACACTTGCAGATGTTGAATTGATAGAATAAACGGTTTCAATGTCATCAAACGCCGCCCTTTGTTGAGCTGAACACGAGCAAGGTAAAGTATATGATGAGAAATATGCCAAATTAATAAAATATATATATATGTGTTCAACGATTATTATATTTACCCTTTTGTCGTTTCTTAAACATATTTAAAAAAAACAAAATCAAGAAACAAAGAACAAGCAATAAAATAAAACTAAGGATAACAATTTTTTCATTTCGTTCATTTAAAGTCTTATGGATTCTATTTGGAGTATCTCTTTTATACACGAGTCCACCTGTGAATTCATGTTTTAGTCGAGTTTCTCCGGCAGCCAGAAATTGAGATAGAATAAAGGGCATTGTAGCGAATTTCGTGTTTTTTTTTTTGTTTTTATATATATATATATTTGTTTATGAAAAAATGAATTATACTGCTCGCATAACAATAAAGTAAGTAGCAAGAATACATTCGTATCAATAAGTTGTCAAAAAAATGTTTCTCTAAAAGAAAGTTAAAACGTTGATTGCCCTTTAGCTTTTGTCCTCTTAATCACTTCCACATGTAACAATAGACCCGCTATATTTCCCAAATGTAAGCTCAATCAAAAGAGTTATATCTTTATTTAAAAGAAAAAAAATCTATTCATCATTTAATTAGTTGTATATCACTTCTTAATTTACTCGATATTGAAATTTATTATCACAATCAACTAAATCGGTAGATGTCCAATTCAAACCTTTTTATTTTATATTTTTGCAATTTCCCATGCAGCAAATAAATTTTTTTAATAGATTGTTTTCATTATGCACTAAATCTCGTATCAAATTTTCAAATTAACCAATCATAAAGTTATCTTTAGAACTTTTAATTAAAGGAATGTATGATCAGTTTATTTTGACACGATTTTCGTGTCACCTTTTCTATTTCTGCTATTAAAATTGCTAAAAGTAATTTTTTTTTATGGTAAATCATTGTAAATGTGACATTATCATTTGACTTAAATTAAACTCAAATCCTTTACTTATATTTTTCATTCCCCACCCCCAAAAAACGTCTTTTTTATTTTTTTCAATGAATTGATCATCACGCTTTCCGATCAAGTTGGTCAAGCTACAAGTTCAAGTTCGACATTTTTGATCATCAAAATAATATTTATATTTAATCTTGTATGACAAATGACTTATAAAAACAACGAATTTATTTATTCGAACAATTATTAATAATCTAAACAAATATTTTGTTTGTCTAACAATATTTGCCTTGACCAAATCTCGCAAATAAGCAGAAATGATGATTTATGCTAAATTTTTTCCGTGATAATAAAGCAATCCCCAGTAGACGGGGACTGCAAGTACAAATAAAAAAAAAAAAAATCCTGCATTTAATAAAATCATCATAGTTAAGCGCATCAGAAAATCGTAAGAACTCACTTTGAATATTTTTGAGCATCTGGAATAGTTTGAGCTTATTCCCTTAACTCAACCGCAACATCAGTTCCACTGGATAAGACTCATCGCTTCATCTTACCAAAAGTTTCTTAAGATTCCATTTTTTTCATTGTAAATGTCTTAATTTGTGTCATGATTCTCTGCGGTACTAGCAAAAAAACTCGGTAGATGCGTCAGTTGTAAGATCTTCCGCAACATCATGAGATTCAGCGGGAATCATTTTTCTATGTCGACACTAACCGACGACTCCAGAACGCCAATCTCGCAACCATTTGATGTGAAGTGAACTCAGATAAGACTTTTCATCTAGTGTATGCTGATCAATGGTAGTTCAGTATGCTTTATCCGTTGATCTTTTTCCTGTACCTCCTTCGAGAAATCCACGACTTCTGGGATGTCGAGTTTATCTGAATTAACCAAATTTAATATACCTCGCGTAAATTTATAAACATATACCTTGAAGTTGCCAAGTTCAGCTTTGGCTTTATTACGAACATGAATATAAAGTGGCTAGAAACGAACGTGTTTTGCATATTTTGAGTGCAAATAACACTTGTCAACAGACTGTAAGCTAAAAGGCTTTCACAAAGGCCTGTACATTTATTTGAACACTGTCGTCATAAGCGTTTGGCGATATTCTAGCGTGGATTTGTTGGTGTAACCCGATCAGAGGTGTGAATTAGAATATCCGTCACGCACCTTGAATGTCACATCCTTCCCAAATGGGAAGTAGCAAATAAGATGTGAACACAAAATAAGTAATCATCTATTCGTTCTGTTGATATTAATTAAGCATCAATAAAAACAATGGCAACTTACCTAAGCCCATTAATAATCGTTTAATAAATTTTTACAGAGTATATCTCGGAATTATGGTGTGGGGGGGGGGGGGGGGGATAAATTGCGATGAAAAAAACGTATTAAAAACTATCAATCATAAGAAAAGGAGAGACTCCAGTACAAAGGGAATTGTTTTATTATAACGGAAAA